GCGCGGATAAAACACAAAGGGATATACGGAGGAACACTTAAGAAGGAAAATGGCACTTGGACGGAAACTTAAAAGGAGACCCTACAACTTCTTTTAACCAACAGCACCGGAAACTCAGAGGCCATGGCCTGCCCTATGGAATGGGATAGGATAACTCCCAGGAGAGTTGTTAGTGATGACCTCGTCAAATGGGCGGTCTCCCAATTCTGTCCATATAGAGCCGCAGGTCCAGACGGGATAATTCCAAAACTGTTGCAGTCGGGCCTAGAAATCATACTCCCGTTACTGGGAAGGACCTCCAAGGCCAGCGGGGGAATGGGATATGTCCCCTACGGTTAGCGGCCAGCGGATGTGGTCTTTATAGCAAAACCTGGTAAAAAGGAGTAAAGAGATAGCAGTGCGGGGGGCTGTCTACAGGGCAGCTGCCTTTCCTCACACCTGTGGCGTCTGGTTATAGACGGGCTCCCACGGCGGCTAGACCAGGAGGGCTTTTACACGCAGGCCTATTCTGATGATGGCCTAGTTCTCTTTAAGGGAAAGTTCCTGGGTGTTGTCTGCGAAAGAATGCAGGTTGCGTGTCGGACAATAGAAATATCGTGCACTGGTACTAAATTATCAGTTAATCCCGTCAAAACGGAGGCCATGTTCTTTACAAGGAGATGACAACTAAGGGACTATAGGGCACCAACGAGGCTTACTTTCAGCAGTAGGCACGAGAAGAAGCTGGATGATGATGGCAAATTAAGACACCTTTTGAATAGATCCCTGTTCCGCAAAATGTGGGCGTGCTTCAATATTCATGTGCAAAGTGTCAAAATAACAAGACTCGTTCTTCTTCTTCTCATTTTAAGGCAAAGTCTGTTTTTTTTTTAAGTTGTGACTCCGATGTCCAGCTTTCCAGAAACCGTCGAATGGGGGGCTTCCTGTAGTTCTACGGTTGGTTGGCTGTTTCTGCTGTTTTGCAATTTTGGGTAGTCGATTATCATCCATTCTGTCGACGTGGTCCCTCCATGTTCGTCTTTTTATTCTTGACCAGCTTACATTGTCTGGATTGTCAGATTGAACTCTGCTATCGCTGCTTCTTAGTCTCTTTAAGGGATTTGCTCGTAATTGATCTTAGCGTCTTCATTTCGGTTTTATCTAGCAGTTCTTTGTTAGCGGCTGTTTGAGCTCGTGTTCCTGTGGCGTAGGTCATAATAAGTCTTACACAACTCTTGTAAATTCGCGTTTTGCTTTTAGTACTCATATGTTTATGTCTCCATATTATGTCCCGGAGACATCCGGATATCCTAGCTGCCGCTATGGTTTGTGTTCGGACTTCTTCTTTAAAGTTTTTATTACTTATGATATTAACGCGTAGGTATTTGAAAGACATGACCTGTTCTACAATGTTATTGTAGATCGCTAACTTACACCTCGGTTCTCTTGATATTGTCGGCGACTTCGTTTTCTGGTTAGAGATCACCATGTTTAATTCCTTTCCAGCTCTTTCGAATCTCTAAAGCTGTTTCTGCAGATTGTCCTCATCTTACTATATTAGCACCGCGTCGTTCGCAAAACAAATTATTTT